CCTCTGGAGCCCTGGCTCCGGGTGTGTCCTGCTGCTCCAGCCTCCGGCCCCAGTGCGTCAGCTGCTGGCGACGGGCATCTGTAGGGCCTGTGCCCAGCACCGGCTGGGGGTGAGGCTGCAGGCGGGGGCTGGGCCGAGGGGCCCGGAGGGGCCCGCAGAGGCCCGCGGGGCTCCCCGCAGGCTGGCCTGCGGCCACTGGAGCAGCTCAGGCCGCTGCTGCGCTCAGAGTTCGCTCTGGACCGACCCAGAACTGGGCTCGCCCGGGTCTGCGCCCCGCAGCTGCCACAAGCTCCAGCATAGCTGCAGTCTGTTTTCTGGGGTGCGCCCGCAGTGCTGCGAATGTCCCCCACGGGGCGTCTCCTGGTGGTGCGCCCCATGCTGCGGGTGCTCGGTGAAGATGGCACGTTAGAGCGGCAGGCTGGGCGCGTCGGGCCGGGCTGGGTGGGCGCTGGCGGCTGCTGCCGCCAGGCCCTGCAGCTGACCGGTCTGAGGGGCCATGGGGAGGGGGCGGCCTCGTTCTTGTGGCCAGGCCCAGCCAGGCGCGCCGGCCGCAGCCCCGCGGCCTCTGTGCCGGGTTCCCCGCCGTGCCTCAGGCGATTGGAGCTTCTGGAGAACCGCGGTAGGTGCCAGCGGGCCTGAAGCCCGGCCCTGCAAGCCCACAGCCAGGCGCGCCCAGGCCCCTGCCCGTGGCCAGCAAGCATCGCCGAGCAGATTCCAGAAGGCCAGGCAGGTGTGTCTCCTGGCAAGGAGGGCCAGCTCGCGCCAGGCGCCCCCTCCCGCACCCCGGCCCTGGCGGCTTCCGCGGGGGAGCCGGCCCGGAGGCTGTTTTGTTTGAGGGCGAGGGGTGCCCAGCGGAGGGGCACGGAGGGACACGGATCTGACGTGTCGCTCAAGCGGGGCCTGCCCGAGCCGGGCACGGAGGGAGCCCGAGGCCAGCCCCTCCCCCGGCCGAGCCGGCCCACCCACCTTTCCGTCCACCAGGATGCAGCCGCAGCCCAGGGGGACGCCCGGCCCCGGGACGCCTGGCTCCCTGCGAGAGCTGGTCACGTTCAGTCGGGGCCCCGTACGTCCAGGCTGGACACTGAGGGTTTGCTTCCTCCTCCCCCGGAGGGCCAGAGGTGGCCACGGCCGTGTCTCCCCTCCGTGGGGAGGGGTCAGAACGTGCCTCAGTCACACGCACCTGTGGCTTCCCGGGTGAGCTGAGCTTGACCCAGGGGCATCTGGCCAGGGTGAGCACAGCAGGCCGTGGGCTGCGATCTGTGCACATGGACACACCTGTCATGGTGGTGGACCGCCAGGCTGCCCGCGGCCAGGCGGCTGTGACTGCGGACAGGGGCCAGCCGACATTGCTCCCCTAGGCTGCACAGGGGAGGGACGCGCCGGTGGCCAGGGTTCCCCCCACATATCAAGTATCCACAAAGGCACGTGCCTGTGGCGGGGCAGGGGTGGACACTGGCGGCCACGGCGGGAGGAGAGGCACTGCGGGGCCCGCGGGCTCGGAGCGCTCCCCGCGCGGAAGTGGACGCCTCATTACATCACCGACATCCCCGCGAGGGCCTCCGAGGAGCGGTGGAGGAGAGGCGCTTCTCCCCGGCTGGACCCGCGCCTTCCGGTCGGCCGCAGAGCGCCCGCTGCTGCCGCTGCTCTCGGCGGCCGCGGGCGGGCAGCGCGGGGCCACGGGAGATTCCCGACCCCAAGCCCGGCGCGGCCGGAGGCCGGAAGAGGAGCCCGAGGGGCGGCGCCGGCGGGCGAGGGGTTAAGTGTGGGCTCGCCGCGGTGCCGCGTTCCGGATTCTCTGCCCTGCGCGGGGCGCTTTGCCGGTGGAGTACGCCAGGGGCTCCCCCGCCCGGCGCCACACGCGCGCACACGCGCGC